AACTCTTTATGAAAAAAACGCGTGGTTAATCTCCGACTATAAAACGAATCAGTGCGACTGTCGTCCCGAGAAGAAATAACAAAATGCTTGGTCGATGAGACGGGCTCTTCCGTCATCGTTTCGCTATACTTTCGTATTTACTTTCGTATCTGAATAGTTTAGCGCAACGTGTCCCCTTCGAACGTCTTCGAAGGCTATAAATACACGGACAGGTAAGCACGGCCAGAGTCAGTCGTTGATACAGAGAAATATTTTCTGGGAAAATGTCCACCGTAACCGAAGCAACCCCAGCGCGAAGGTTCTTCACTGACCTACGCAACAGATCGCGCCCGTTCATTCAACGTGAATCACAGGTTCGAATTCTAAATACGCGGCCCACGTTCGCAGATGCGATACTATTGAAAAACCGAGAATTCTGACGCATCGCAGGTAAATTTAGTGCAACATCCTCGATCGAAGGCGGAGGGGGCGGTGCGAGCGTACGCGAGCGATCCGTGTCGTTGCTAGCCGACTCGTAGCTTGTGTTTGTAGCTCGTCGTTATAAATGTCAGCGGTGACGTCGTCGTTCATTGATCACATCCAACCACGTACAAACGTAACTAATTCGTCGTCGTTGTTTCTTCGACGCCGGAGCTGATTCCTTTTACGGTTTCGCGGATCGGACGTCGGTCAGTTGGAACTCGCGAGCGACGTTACGCTAAAAGAAGAATGAGCGGAACGTAGCTCGGAACCGCGCGACCTTCCACTTTTGCGTACTGTCGGCGAATCTCACGTTGGGTGTTTGGAATTTCGGGTCGTTCGACAGATTCGTAGGCAAGTTGCAATTCGAGGATCGCTAAATTTTCACAGAAAACTGGCCGATGTTCGAACTGCTGGAACTTGACGAGAAGAAAAAACATGGTCTACTCGGGTTGGTTTTAAAGAGCACAGAGTGTGCTTTCGCAGCTTCGAACTTAATTCTCCGGTTATAGCTTCGACACCGCGACGGTACAGTTTTCGTCTGCAAACGGCGAGAAAATATCGTAACTCGACTGTTTACTGTCTTCGTCTTGTTGTCTTAATTGTCGATCGTCTTTGTAAAGGGGAGATTCGTCAATTGCCTGGATTTGTCAATTTTGAGAAGAAGAGCGACTTTAGTTTCGTACTTCGTTTGAAGAGATCTTTGGCCGTTTAAAACGAGTTCAGACAGGCCGTTGCGCGATTTTCTTCGCGAGATCGCTACGAGCTGAATATGGACGATCGTTCGGTGAAAATTCAGCGATCCTTCGATTTTGTTGTGGCGAAGCGTAGGATTGAAATTTCATCGAATGGTATGCGCAGAGATAATATTTATCGGGTAGCTTCAACGTAAAATTCTTAGAATTGGCATGGAAATAACGCGATTCGCTAGTATGTACGCGCGATACCATTGCGTGGTTCTGATTATCAATGGCGATTCATCGAACAAATCACGGGATGTTTACGACGAAGGTCTGCTGTTGAGATGTGCTCGTCGACGCAGTAAAAATATTTGTCAGCACGTGAGAAAATATTTGGATCAAAGGTTATGAATAAATTTTGTTTTGCTTGCACACCGGCCTCGATGTTGCAGGCAGATTCTCTTACTCGACCAATTAAAATAGCGTTTAATTCTCGCATCTCGCATTTCCTGTTAATTCCTCTTCCAGATATTATGTTCTGCATTAACATTCTACAATTTACATCTCAAATCCAATATTCTCCAATCTGTACGTACCGCTAACACGTTGCTCACATTCCGTATATCGCAAATTGTAGTATCGTGGACGAGGGGCCTGGGGGATGTCGGGCGAATTATAAACAAGCGGTTGCGGAACACGAGGCTAAGACAAAAGACAAGGGTTTGCTAAGGGACATAAACGAATTAACATTCATCGTGAGTTGAGAAGTCAGAGAGTGGGAGTCGCGTTATCGAGAGAGCGTTGGATCCGTGCTGACGAGAGCTTTAAATTAATTATCTAGTTGTCTTAATTATAATACGTTATTGCGATTAGTTCACGTTAAACAACCATCGTTTCCTGTTTAATCAACATCTGTTGTCTAATCCATTTATTGTAAGTAAACTAATCGTAGTATTGATCCTACAGTATCTTCGCCACTTTGCCTATAAATTAATTCGCAATTAACGGCCTTGTCGGTCTACGAATGTTCGAGCCAAGCACCGGTTCTAATTTTCTTGGTTAATTGTACGGCATAAATATTGCAGCAATTTATAAAAGATTAGAAACGATTTAATTGAACCGAGGCGGTGCAGCGTGTCTGACATATGATGGACGCTTTCACTTGGACTCAGACGTACATATTCTCGGAATAAATCTCAAGAAAGTTAATATCGGCGATCTAAGTATTAAATATTTACACTGTTGATATTTGCAATTCTAATTTTTCCATTGAATATAACGCAGATAAGAGTGTTTCGTACTTGATATATAGACGCGGGATTTATGCGATTGTCTGAGTCTGATTTATGGCAGATAATTCCACTTTCTGCGCACGGATTTGCACGTACGTTTGGATAGGGTACAATTATGAGACAGGTGCTTCGTTACAACAGAATGACGAAACTTGCGTCCACGTATGTACGTGCATACGTTGCGTCTCGTAGACACACTGTGCAGATCTCAGAAAGATATTTATACAGCTTCGAATATATTAGCTTGTCCGGAAAGTGTCTTTATTTCGCAAACGTGTTTTTTTACAACAATGTACAACAAGTCTGTCGCGGTGTTTATCTCGACAGAAGAAAATGGATCGTACGTAAATCGACAAAATATTATGAAACAAGAAACGTCTATTATTTGCTCATAAAACGACAAAAGCTTTTCGGACAAGCTAATAATAACGTTACACGTAATGTGTATCGATAAATGAAATATATTTCGACACTTTCTATTACAACAACGCCTCGCTTGTACGTTTTACGCCTTCTATTTAATCGGAGTTGTCTTAAGATGAAAATTAGAAAATCACAAGCGCGCGCGATCTGTCGTCGACGCATTTGAAGTTTCTTTGACAAACGTAGCACGTGTGTGATAGATACACGTGTCTGATAGAGAACTGGAATTATCTACGTGAGCACGCTGCACACGATAACGTCGCGTAGGAGACACAAAAAATCACTAAATTAACTGATCGTCTCGTAAATTAACAAATTCGCACTTTTAGATATGACAGTAACATTTATTGTACGAATCCAACAGAGTAACGGTGCAGAGTGTTATAACAGAGTGTCTACGGTTGAGAATCTTGCGACAGAGTGCGTCGAGTGCTGATTTTGGGTAGGTTTGTATGTTTCGGTAGGTTTGAGCCCTGTGGAGGAGTCGTCACCGGACGTCAGTCACAGGTGGCTATCCTGTTACCGTCTTCTCGGCTTGGGACTCGATGACTGTGGCCTGCAGGAGGTTTGTCAAACGTGGTTATCCTATTATTGTTTTATGGCCCTGTGACAATAGCCTTGCGATGCTGTTTTTACGAGAAAACCTTCTAAAGTTTTCCTTCTTATTATTATTTAATTTGCACTTTACAATTTGTCCAGCTGGACATCTGGTAAATGACTTCTAAAGTGTATCCTAAACCATGTGAAAATAAATCAGCAGAAAAACATGAATGAAAAACAATCTTGAAAGATTGCAGCGAGTAAGAAGTATTTCAAGCAAATAATGAGAAAACTCGACAAATCTAGAGGATTTGGAGATCTTAAAAAAGAAATGTACAAAAGACCATAAACTTTGTATTATTCTTCGATTCGAATTAAAGAAGAAACCCGAAAATAACAGGAAGAAGCCTCGAGAGAAGCTTGAGCGAGTGGTCGTTGGTGTTTCGATAAAACTATACGATACGACAAGCGCCAAGAGGAATCCCGCGACGACGAACCACGCGAAAATCACGCACCACGTCCTTCCGTGCTCGTAAAAAAGCTTCTAAAATTAATTTTAAGGAATTTGACACGGCACGGCGCTTTATCGAGTTTCTCGCCGGCGACCTTCACGATGGCGATGCTCCTGCACGTTTCTCTCGTCGTTCATCCTCTGACTCGCGCTGTCGCGAACTGAGAAAGTGGAAATAATAAGCGAAAACGTTCGGAACGCGAAGTTAATGTAACGTAACCAGGCGGGATCAGAGCTGGAGCACGTGTAGGATATAAATAATTCAAAAATGTGGTCGTGCCGCTCGTGCAATGTTCCACTGTTCCTGAACGGAGGTACGACGGTGTCTTTGTCAGCGCGGAAATTTCTACCTTCCGATTCGTCGTTCAACCAGACGACAAACTCGTCTAGAAAATTCCTTTTCCGCTTTGTAGATAAGTTTCGGTATCGCAAAATGCTACGGCATTTGTGTCGTTTCTCGCGTTTCGTACCCTAAACTTTTCTCCAATTAAAGCTCGAATGTATAGACTTTCCAATTGGTTGTTTACAGATGTAGATATTTTGGTTTTTGTTTTTGTTTTTTTTTTTAGGTCTGTACGTATGTGCGTGTCAGCTTAAAGAAATAGAATTGACCTTGAAATGTTTGAAACGCCTTCGCTTCCGGACCGGACTCACGCGCCACATGACGTACCATTAAAAAGCGTTTAATTTTACCTGACGAATTTTTCTCCACCTTCTGTCGTCTCAGCTCTTCCGATTACGGAGAAACCTAGAAACGATATCGATATCGATATTTAATTAAATCTGATCTTCTTTTTTTTTGTATATCTCTTTACTAGAAGAAAAGCTAGAAGAAAGACAGAGGTTTATCATGTTTTTAGAAAAGCTTATATTTACCATATAATGTTATATTATTATACTAACACGTACATAACGACGCGTACAACGATACGATATTTAGCCTGGCGGTAATTTTCGAGCCACCGTGACGATCGTAGAATTAAAAGCGACGTTGTAAAAACTGGGCTGTCGCAGCTGTAGTTCGCAATTATCGCGAGTTTACAATTTTACAATTAGAGTGGCGCGTGAGACATTCTGAACAGATAATTCTCGAATTTGTCACAGTTCGAGGTTTCCGACGCTCGCAGCACTCGAACGTTTCTCGCCGCGTTCCTTGTTCTTTGGTTTCTTCTTAATTTCGCGAACTGCGCAGCAAATTCGACAGCAGCTGGCAACCACCACCGAATCCCGAAGTAATTAGGCGAATCAGCGTCAACGTGCTTACATAATCGCTGTAGATTCGAGTCGTAAAACGTTGCGAGACGACACCCTCTGCCACCTCGAACGACCAATACACGAACACGCGGACGACAAACTCAATTGCACCGAATTGCTTCGCAACAAGAAGAGGAGGCAGTCGTTATAAATAAATTTGAGGCAGCTCGGTGCGTCTCGTAGAAAAATCTCGACCGTCTATTCGCGAAAGAAGCACAGAGTTTCTAGCGTTTTTCGCGTGGTTCCTCGTGCTCGACCCTGATTATTTATAGGTGGTAGAATTTGCATCGGGAAAGGCAAATAACGATATCGTCGATCTTACGTCGATAATAATATTTTCTAATATTCTAATCTTCTGATATTCTCAATCGTTAGACGATAACGTCTGACGAATTCGAAGTGATAATCGAAAAATTGGTAATCGGAACGAGAAACAACTTTTAATAATTTACGAAGATGCGAATAAACTGGATAACATTAGGATGTTTTCATAACGAGATGAATAGCAACGATCGACGTAAGTTTGTCGAAATAGCGAACGAAGTAAGTTTATCGAGAATTATTCAAAGTATATATGTTTATGCTGGACGTTTTATTTTGAAATTAGAGAAGGAACAGTGAAATTAACGAAATACGAGGAATATGGTTTATTTTTCGTAAGAGAAATTCGAGCAACCTCGGACGATAAAAAGGGGAAGTTATGCGAGCCATCTGGAGAAGGTCGAGTGCTGGCGCCTAACCAAGGTCACGGATAGAGGAATTTACGACCTTTCGAGTGTTCGACGAACCCTCTTTTGTGCCTACGCTTCAAATACCTTTCACAGATTTCACCTGCCTGCTATTATATAAAATGTTCCATTGTTGATTGTAAACAGAAGTTGGTACCTAGAACTTTAATGAATAGAAAGCCTCATTCATGGCTCGATTTAAAGAAAACATTTTGGCTTTGTGTGGCTCGTTAAGCGTTTCGCTCTGCTATTATTATTTAGTTCACAGCAGATACGAGTTTACACACTTACGCTTACGTAAATAAATAATTCGTCGTTCGAAGGATTTATTTATAAAACGGCAGGTTTTATCCTATTTATCGAAGGAACATCCGCCGGTGAAGTAAATCGTTCTTTTTTCCTCTTCTGTTTTTTGAGATAGAAATATTGATTTATTTATAAAGTAGCAGATTTTAATCTGTTCGTCGAAGGAATAATTTATCTCGATGGAAGATATCAATCTTTTAACATTCAATACATCTCGATTTAATATATCGATTTCTAAAGTACATAACACATTTTGTCCAATTAAAAATGTATTTTATTGCTATCCAAATGTATAGTTTATTTGACATGTATATAATCATTTTATCTTCTTCAAATTTACGAAATAATTTCTTTCGTAAACGATTTCCCCTATTCACGAATTACTCGAAAATGAAGTTACGTATTTCCTCTTATTGTACCTTTCTGTATCTTTGCCCGGTAAACATCAACAAGATATACATTGTACACTTTTCTCTCTCCTTATTTGTATAAAACAATACATTATAAAATAGCCTACCTACCGAAAAAAAAAAAAAAATAAATTGCATCCCACAAGTTTGTCCGAAAATGAAACATTCCAAGTTACATATTTCATCTTATCGCGTGTCGCTACTTCTTCATTAGTCACGGTAAACGTTTCAATTTCTCCGAGAAACTGTGAAACGATGAGCCAGTTCATTCTACGATGATGGTTCTATGCATTTGGACGGAAATATTCGCACAAATTGGACACGGAATGGTCGCCTTCTATTTTGAATGAGTAAGTGGCACCGATCCAGGTGAGAGCTAATCGTTAATCGCGAATACCATTCGTGACTAATGCAACCATCACTGCCAAATCTCTCTCTCTCTCTCTCTCTCTCCCCATACATTTATATATATCAAATAGCCGGTAGCTAACGCTTGAAAATGGTCGTATCTCGATGGACGCGTGTCGTTGACACTGTGTTTAGCGTCTCGACGTTATTGTTTCGAATTCCTCGAGTTGCTGCCCGCTGGCATGCACCGTCCTCTTGGTGGGTGTAAATTTCTATGCAGCGTGACGAGTCGTTCAATCTTCAAGTTGCAATTTCACGCACGATGCTCGCACGTGTCGTTCTGTCGCAAGACGAGCGTATCGTAGGTAGAGTTGAAGCTTTGCGCACAGTGTTCGCGAGACGCGTTTAATTGCGCTGAAATAGCAGCTGTGACGGTGATTACAGAAGGAAACGTGGATCTTTGGTCGATTTTTCAATTTTCAGATTCCCCTTCATTTTATCCTGAAGTTTCCGAGTATCCGAAAGTTGAGTTATCGAACCATGGAACTTGTGCGAATGTACAGATCGACACGAGTCTCGAGTCTCTCAGCTCTGAAACTTGAATCTTCGAGCTGTCGATTGTTAAAATCTCAATCTTTGGATCTTTCAATTCTCTTTTCCATCCTTAAAGTTTCTTCGAATTTTTGTTATTTACTTCGTTGCGACGATGTTTGGAGCTTCGAGCCACTGGTCTGCCCAGGAACCCGCGATCCTTCGTTTCTGCGAATTTTCGAACTATCGATCCTTTGATCCTACGAGTCGTCAAATTCTAAGCTTTCGAGTGTCCGCTTGCTGGACCCTGCGAGCCAAGCGACAAGACGCTCAGCCGATTCGAATACAATCGGAAATCAAGCGAAACAACTTGTCAAATTTGTCGATATTTTCGAACTGGATTTATAGATTTGTCAAAGTAGATGTATCCGTAGAATTTGATACAGCAAGAATAGCAGGGGACGGTTTACGATAAAAGCGACTGAAAGAAGACACGTTTCGACGTTGATGACAAGACGTCGACGAAAATATCGACGACGCGTCAAACAGGGACCGGATTTGTCGAAATAACAGACGAGTCGTGGCGGTAGCTGAAAGACAGGCGGACGTCGAGCAGACGCGGAAACCGCGACGATGGCCGTATGCTATTTAGGGAGCGCGAACGATATTTTCGCTCTTCCACGTCACGTTTTTGGCTTCCACGAGATGCTTGATCGACGATCTTTCGTACCGTGGCTTTTCATTGACCGACTTTGCATTTACTGTGGCGGATATCCGTTCCTCGAGATAAATAAATAACGTGTTTCCAGATAGAACAGAGTGTTCTGTGAATGGAAACTTCTGCCGTACGATGGTTTCTCGAAACTCGCGTAAAACTTCAGAATCAACGAAACATTAAGGCCACACAAGAATATTTTTACGAATATCTCGTGATTCAAGAATAATTTGAACAATTCTGAAAAATGTCCGATAAGTCGTACGATATCGAATTCGTGCGATGGAGAATTTTTTCTTAAGTAAATCGACGTTGCCTTGATATCGATCGATGTTAAATTCAAAGTATCGTAGAAAAATTACAATTGCGATCGAAGTACGCGAGTCCAATCTGTTTCGTGCCATGACGTCCGACTACGATGTCTTATTCCACTTATCTAAACGCCGAGACTCGTTCCATTTGTTTAAAGACGAGAAGAAACGCGGGGCTATTCCACTTTTACGATCCGCGGAACATTCTGCCGAACTCGTCTGACCACGATTCTTATTCTACTTAATAGCTCAAGGTCGGATACGGTTCCTATTCTACTGGCCTGATCGAAATCAACGGGAACTCCGCTTTTTTATTTATTTCTCTTTTAGCGAGGTTTAATTTACAGTTGCAAGAAAATTATTAGAACGTCGGTGCGGGTATTCTTTTCGATTATTTGATCGATCGATCAGATTATGATTAATTTAAACGTAGCACGCAAATCGAGACGAATAGTTAATTCTGTTTTACGCAGTGAAAGATGAAAGGAAGGTTTCTGGAGCAATATCTTTATTTTCCTGCGAATACAGTTTCGTTACGTGTATGTATATATTTATATATATATATATATATGTATATTTGGCTTAACAATACGTTCATAAATACGTGAATATAACATTTACATGCGTTTCCCATCTTTTGCTTTTTAGTCTGTTCAAATATACATAAATTGCGCTATTCGATGCTCGACGAGCGACGATATAAATCGTCTGATTGATCAAATAAAAGATGCGTCTGATATTAATAAAAAAAGAGAAACGTTAGAACAGAGTATAATGAGACTAGCGAGTCAATCGTTCAATTGCATTTATTCATTGATCACGTTCAAAGTATCCTCTCTTTCCTTTTCTTTTCTTCTTTCTTATCTTTTTTTTTTTTTTTTTTAATATACCTCGTTCAAATTGCACATTAATTATAATTAGGATTAATTTCACTCGATATCTCGAGTTTTAACAACTATGCTTTCGCCATTTTCAGAGATCACCGAAAAGAAATAAATAAAACAAAAGCGTTCAACAAAGAAACCTTTCGCCATCGTTAAAAATTCGTCGAAGAAGAGATTCTAAAATTAATATCCAGTTTATCGTAGATTCGATTTTACCAGGTAATTTCCATAAATATAGATACCAATATATTTAAATATTTAAATATTGCAAATTAACTTATCAATTATACGGATCGATCGAATGATACGACGCGTACAATATCACTGGAAAATTACATGTCTCCGTGTAATTCGTCTTTTTCCATCGACAGCATTACTACAATTACGTATAATTACATATTACGATCTCTAATTCGCTCGAAGACGAACGTCTTTCAGAACGTTCTTTTATCGCAAGTAGTACACGTACCATCGCTATACGCTAGAAACTATATGTACAAATCCTACTGACGATTACTTAGGGCTTACGAGATTATGCTACTTATATTAAAAGAGAAATTCTTTCTTTACGAAATATGTACTTATCGTTATAGACGTTCTATCTTATTCCGAAATTTTTGCCTTGCTTCCAACACTTATGACACTTCTGCGATCACTTTGTCTATTTTCGTTTTATTTAGAAAAAACAAACAAAAGGAAAAGAATCAACCCTCCTGCGGAGTCATAAAAAATGAACTAAAATTTGTATACGTAGATCCTTCTCTTCCCTTTTTCTTCCTTTTTGCTTCTTTCAGATACCTGTCGGTATGGTACATGGAAATATAAAACAATAACAAGTTCTGATACGTTATAGCGATACAATAAACGATAACGAACGTAAAAGCAACAATAAAGCGTTACAAATGATAAATGAAAAATATACAAATGTCGATTGTTCGTAGAATCCTCCAAGGAAATAATACATCAAATATTCTCTCTCATTCGATCCTTATACAAGACCTACTCGTCTTTTTTTTTTTCTTTTTTCAGTAGATTTTGTATAAAATGAACATTTACGAACAATTATACACGAAATATCAATATTACTGTGATATCATATGCACACGCATATTTATATTAAATATATATTATATATATATATATATTAGGCAATATAATATTAATAGTCAAAACACGATTCATCCTTTGTTATTCTTGACAAATCTTTTCACATGTTTGTAATCATTTTATCGAACCAGAAAGGTATACATAAATAAAAAGAAATCAGAAGATGAAACTGCGGATGAAATAAAGTATCGAGAATGCGATAATACTATGGAAACTATCGTCGAATAAATTTGAATTGAACGGTCGAATTTTCTTACATGACTATATCTACTTTACTTTCTAATGAACATTTCTAATGTTTCAGTGTGTGTTATACGTTGCGTGTATATCTGCGTTTATACGTATAATTATTATTATCACGCGTATCATTACGTATAATTACTGTACAACAGCGTCGTCTTCTTTTTACACGATCCACGTACATGAAAAATTGATACGCGCTAACCGTAAGCTCGTGCGTGTGAGCTTATATTCTCTGTAAAAATATATATATATATATATATGTATATATGTATATATTATGTACGTGGATATTTGTCAATATTCGCTTAAAACATACAATAAAATGTCTCCGCGTAAGGAAAACGTATGGACGGCAGAAGTGGCGCGTTTCGATCGCATATACACGAGAGATAAATACAAAATTAGAAGAGTGGAATAACGCGTGAGAGAAATTGGATTTTGTCTCAGAGAGATACAAATGAAATTACGATAAATTATGTTAATCGTATTACAACGACGATGTGTTAATTTGTACGTACACAACTGGCCGAAAGCTTGGAATCTTTGCACGATCTCGTTGAACGTATGCGTTCAACGATATATCAACTTGCTTTAGAAAATTCTTTAGTCGAGGTTCTCAAGAGGTTTGATCAATGTTCTTAGTCAATCTATTTAATTCGAATCACTTCGAATTAATAACAGTGTCAACAAGAGGTTTGATGTAATAGGGCTTGAACTAACTGGATTGAAATTTCTGGCCAGTAGTGTATACATGCAGGGTACTAAAAAATGTAGCAGTCGAGCAAGCAGCATACATTTGATCAAAAGTTATCGAAAGAAATAAAAATATCTGAATAAAAAGGAGCACAAAATTATTCGCTTGATGGTCAGAAAATAGTTTTAGCTACGAATGTTACTCTGATGGAGTAACAGACTTAACTAGGTCAATGTTTAAAACATCTAAAGCGAGCTGTTACGACTGTTCGCTTATTACAAAATCAAATAAAATA